CATTTTGTGAAGGAAGAAAGGCATCAAATTCACTTATCCACATGTTCCAGCATGGAAAGATGCTCGACGGGTCAACAAGTAGATCCAGCCCCACCGCATGCACAACCAAGTTCAATGCGTGACCGAAGAACCTCAATGATAGAATCTCCTGCAGAAAACAAAAGCGGTGAGGGATGAAATTGGAAGGAGGCACCAGAGCAAGCACACACCAGGCACCGCACGTCCTGAATGCTGGATCTGGGCACGATGACGGTTGAACGGGAATTCCATGGCTTGAATATCTGAGGGATTTTGCATGACCGCCATTCTCACCGCCCTATAGAGAAAGCTCGAGGTCACAGTCACTCGTCCAATAAGCGTTGAAATTACGAGGGTTCACCGCCCTATAGAGAAAGCTCGAGGTCACAGTCACTCGTCCAATAAGCGTTGAAATTACGAGGGCTCAGGTGCGAGACGCGTTCCGAGTACGGAATACGGCGCCAGACACTCGGCAGCTTTTATGATCTCTTGCATGTTGTTGAGAGGTTTTGGTAGGACAGTAGCATTCTCGCTGTATGTAGACGGGAAATTACGGAAACGGAAAAGGAAGTTGAGGTGGTAACAACGCCGATTTAGACACACCGAAATTTATGGTGAATAGAGTGGCTGGGATATGCCGCAGAAGCTAAGTCTGTACTAAAATAGAAACCCTCGGGGATCAGGTGAAACCGTCTCCTGCCAATTTGAACGGGATATGTTCAATCTGTACTGCTATGTTTTGCATCTTCGCCAAATGGACTCCGAACTGGGACGCGAAAAGTTACGTGCCGTGGAACGTCATCGCATCGAGCTCGACTACACAACACGTGGAGATAGATCCCCTAAAGATCTCTGGCAGTGTCAGGGTACATTTGAATTTGGTATCTTTTGGAATACTGATTGCATCTCTACAGTATGGTCCCCTGGTTTTGTTTTTTGGAAGAGACTATGCATTTTATCCACAGTGGTCCTCTCACATGTATTACCTGAATCGGTGAAGAAGTCCACATACCGAGAGTTTTATTGTTTTCAACTCTACGCAAGAGATTCATACATGTCGCCTACACCACTTGATGCTATAAACAACCTGAAGCATTGTGCTCAAGATCTTATGCATTGTTGGACTTTGACTAAGCTGTCTTAAAATTGTTGTGCAGTTTCTCTAGAAGAACACTTTGTCAACAATAAGATTTGTCTTGATATCGACACATATGGTGATGGAATCTTCAAATATTTTTGGAAGGTTACGGAACAGACTTCGTGAACCAAAAAACTTACAAACTTTCGTCAAGATCCTCTAACTACCGTTCTGTATGAAACAGTGGGAAGAAAGTCTTTTTGATAATAAAAAGAAGTCCCTCACGAATGGAGAAAACGTGAAGTCCACCGTGTTGTTAATGTCCATGTTCTCTGGAATGAGATAATTTCAGGTAGACGGAGATTATCAATTAAAGTAGAGAGATATGATGCACACTCCTCTAAAACTGGTGGCTCGTTAATGCAAAAACAGGAGGATAGAGATTAGTTATTGCCCACCAGTGCCACTCGAGATATCGTAAGGAATCTATATCACTAAAGTCTTGCCTCTTCTTTGATCGAAGTGTTGAATGAATCTAAAGGAAAGACGTGCTTCTCCATATTCGGATCACGTTTCACCTTTCATTTCATGTGGAAGGATGCATCTTAATAATGTCCTTCTATTCTCGGTGTTTGGAAGAAGTCTTCAGACCACGACCTTACAACCGTGCACTTTTATGTCACAAATGTTTCAATCGTAAGCGAACAACAGACGCCACATATCCGTTTGACCAGGTGGCACAGCACCCACACATGAAAGAGAAAAAGAGCACACACCTTTTACGAAGGGAAGCGGGAACTGGTGCCCAACTAATGCATCACGGTGACGGTGTTGGTGCTCAGAAGCGAAAAGAGTCGAGGTCTAGAGTGATAAACCGTGGGACCGACCCTGGTATGGTCTCCTCAGTACGTACGCGGTTCGACAACAAAGCTACAGTTAGGTCCAGACTTCCTTTGAGAAGTTTGGCGACTGCGTCGACCTCGTTGTACTTACGATGTAGGCCATCCTCGGCGTAGGACCCGATTGTTTTGTCCAGGGGAAGCTTAGATTTCAACTCCATGCATCTTTTTTCCCGATAGGGACCGCTTACGAATCCAGACCTCGAGCTAGATTTCTCTCTCTCTCTCTCTCTCTCTCCCTCCCTCTCCAATGTAGACAGATCCAGTGAGCTCGCCAACAAATTAATTGAGATGATGACCTTCTACAGACGGTGAACTGAACTCATAAAGAGGAAATGCACCACAAAGTCTAGACCGGACAATCCGGTGTTTGTCCATGTAACCGGAAGAAGACTACCACGATAGCCCGAAAGGAGTACATCTTGTATGTGGGTCCAATTTTAGTCGCGAGAAATATTTTTGCGGAAGTTCGCTAAAATAATAACGTGGACGATCTTCTGTCAAAGATGATCCACGCACCTAAAGAGTGGCCTGTATCTCACCAAAATAGTGGGCAGTTGGACCTCATTCGATTGAACAACACAGCGACACTCGTTAGTCCAAGCGGATTTCCTGCCGGTCACATACTTGCCCGCTTCGTCTGACTGTTATTGGCTACCGGTGTATAACAGACCGGATCACCCGAACAGGTTCCCCGAACTACCCCGTTGGTGGTCAGAGTGCGCCAGACATGACATCAGCGCGCGGGCCGACGGTCATCTGACCCCCGAAAGAAATAATCGAAAGAACCGGAAGGCAGAAACTGACTTCGACTTTGCTTGGCGAAGCGATAAGTTTTGTCCGCATACGAGCTTGGCGAGCTTTGTTATAAGAAGGTGGCAAAGAAACTTTCGCTGATCTTTCGATGACTCCGATAAAGTGAGACTCGGATTGGAGGTAGCCAACTCGGTAGAATGAAGGGACGGCGGTAAAGGCTAGAGTATTTGGGGGCTTTTGAGAGGCCCAGATGTAGTGTTATAGATAGAAGATGGCACACAATTGCTATTGGGCGTAGGAAGGTAGAGCTAAGGTTGGCTTGGCGGGCAAATGGACCTTTTTTCCTTTCACTTACTAGGTTACCAGGTCTACTTAGGAACATCACGGTTTTCATGGACGGGTGGCGATTGTAGTTGTCGTCGTCGTCGTCGTCTGAGAAGCCATTAGGAAACTGCCTGGATTCCTTACTCCGGAGGTGAGATAAGCTAGCGACTGCTGGCAAGATCGCGAATCACGATGCGCGTCTTGTTATCGAGAGCGTTCTTTTACGGGATCCAAGAGGAGTGAACACCCTTTCCAAGGATGCCTTAGTTACAAAATTGTTTTTTGAGGTTGAATTTTTTAAACAAGATTGTCCTTTTTGACATTTACATTCAGAGGAAAAAATACGCCTAGAATAACGAGTTGCAGTAGACTGTTTCCATGTTATCGCTCGAATTGAGAAGTAACATGGGCAAGCCTGATATAAGTGCTTATGAAATTGTTCGCTTCGATGACGAGTTCAAAGTCATGAGGATTACGGCCTGGTACTGATGCAAACAAAATATATAATAATCTATGTATACATTGACAGTATTTTTCCAACTGTGGCGTTTACCTCTTTCGAAGAACATGAACAGTTCCATGCTTTAAAAAAGATACTTTTACTGTTCTTTAGTTCGTGTCGGAAACTCTTGATGTGGAGTTCACAAATCAACTTTTGCACACTGTTCGGGTGTCGACTTTTTTCTAAGCTTTTAATCCAGATGCAGCCGTAGTTTTGTCTTTACCTCCGCACTCTCTCGATCCAGTCTCCAGATCTCTATGAACCGCATGGTGAAGAAACTACTGTATTCTTGTCAACGCTCTAGACCCTCAAAAGGAGCACTTCAGGTGGGGCTTTTGTTCCCAAAAGTCGGCCACCGGTGGTGCGAGTGAACTTCCATTCTCAGAAACCCAAACCTGTCTCCGTGTGCTCTTTCTCAAATTTCGTTCGTGAAGCAGAGGCTGCGAACTTCAGAGCTACATGCATGCAGATTTGGGAGGGGGTTCTTGGAACGGATAATATCGTTTGCAAGCTCATATTGAGCTGAACGGGACCAACTCACCTTCACACGATGGTGACTGCATGGGAGCTTTACAAGCGCAAATGACATCCTTACCAACTTTATCTCACAAACCACTGGAACATAAATACAGCAGTGCTTGAGTCGAAGTCATGCGCCAGGCACTCTGAATCCCACGAGTTATGAACATTGTTGAGAATTATGAAGTCATAGAGCTCTGTAAATGCCAAGCCCTTCTTTTGTTTTAGTTCATCTTTCTTTGACTGTACATCTTTCAACTTGATTTGTTGTTGCTGTTACTGTTGTTGTTGACATGGATAAAACATGAGATTCTTTATTTGAACTTCCTCTGGACATTGGAATCGGTCGAGGCTCTTCCGCGCATTTATGCTCATGTTCCTCTCCGTATCAGTTTAATATTTTTCTATGGCGCAAGTTATTTCGATGTTCAACAGGCACTAAATTTGGGCCTCCCTCCATTATCACGAAAGGTGTGCCTAATGTTGGTCATGAATGTTCTTGTAATTTCAGATCGCTCTGGGAGAACACAAGCTAATCCAGGTAGAGCGGCATAGTTTCAGGACGTCGTTAGTGGTACTAACAAAAGCCCAAGTCCGGTCGACTTTCAGGGACATGAGCCTAAAGCTAATCATACGGAGCAACCAACGGGGCTGAATGTCCGCTGCGCTGTTCTGGGACTCGGCTCCATGCACTACTACTTTGACGTCGTCGCCAACTTGGAGTCTTCCCATTGGGAGCCAATCGAACCCAGCATCCTGCTCGGCAACGTCTGTGAGGTGGCTGAACCGACCTAGCTGGAAATTATGATTGGTTCCAGGACGGAGGGCCCACCGTACCAGCTGTCCTGTTTGGCCTTCCCAGTTGGATCACGCCGCCGGAAGAATAGAGAGCTTCGGTAAGCCGGGAGTATGAATTGGCGAAGGCGCTGAAGGTGGACTAGGAAGTTTGGAGTGCGCAGCGCTCTGAACGTCGGATCTCAAGCCAGGGAGTGGAGGTACCCGGTGAGGGGAGAATCGTGGACTCAGAGGAGCAGAAAAGGAATCGATTCTTTTCGGTCTGGCTGGCGGAGTGCACCAGGCTTTTCCCCGGCCAGTACTTTCACTGAGAAGCGTAATGCTTCAAGTGCCGATTCAGACAGGTACGGTTGCAGAGATTCAGACGTAGCTGTGTGAGTAGCTGAATTGGACCAAAGTCATGCAGGCTTTCACTGTCTTACATCCTGTCTGTGTCTGTCTGTACGAAGTCCTTCGCTCAATCACTGCTGTCTGCTGACTCTGCTCGTTTCACTGCTCCGTGATGTGGTGGTCATTAATTGATTGCACCAGATTGTTAGCTAAAGAGTGCAGGGACATTCATTCACTGGCAGACGTTGCAGCACTGGCAGTGGCGGGGAGACGTCTGGTCGTTGGTAGTGTGGTTTGAGGATTCCTGGATTCCGAACAATTCAGCAGGAGGCCAAAGCTGCTGGCTCGGAGCGAAAGTGGTTTCATCATCTGCTGCTGGGCCAAGTCGAGTGCTTTGCCTGTAAGAAATTCTCCAAAACTGGATCGGACGAGCTGGAACGAGGGAGGTCGGTACCCGCTTGCTCCCGCCAACCACAGCTTGATGGAACCCATGAGCCGAAGCTGTGAGCTCGACATCTGAACTGTCGCTCTCTACCCGTCTTGATCGGGTTTCTCATCAGCTTGATTTGTTACGTGTTTCGAAAGTTTGTCCGCGCTAATACTCCCACTGTTGCTGAGAAAGGGACGCGAGTATTATCACATGTGAAACTTAAACGGTATGGTCCATGATAGAGTGAGCTGGAGAGCTGAGCTGACACTGACGCGAGCTGCAAGAGGTTGTGTTGTTTTGGCCATGGGAACGAGTTCACTCTAGTTGGGAGCTGAAGAACCAGAGAGCTTTAGAAGCCACTCTGTCCAGAAGGGAATCCAGGATCAGCTGTTGTGATGGGACGGTCGAGAACGTGCAGTGAGTGTACATTGGAGGATTCTGAATCCTTCTGAAGAGTCCCAGTTTTGGAGGAAGCGATTCAAGTGCCACGGGTAGACGTCGAGAGCTCATGGTCTGAAAGTTGAAGTGGTGCGGAGCCTGCTTGTAATTTTCTTGTGATCAAGCGGGAGCGGTCTGTTGCAGGAGTTGGAACTTACACAGAGGGCGGGTTTGGGAGCTCTGAGGAGTGCGCCGAAATGAGGGAAAGTATGAGAGAAGTTTTGAAATCTGCAGCTTTGGGGCTGCTGAATCTTTCGCATCCCAAAACCGCGTTGGCTGCCTTCAGGGGGCGCAATTCGTCGAAAGCTTTTCACAGCGCGAAAATGACGATGCTTTGCGGTTTCGTCACCATAGTGGTGCTCAGGGGTAGTGTTGGAATCGGAAAGTTTGGTGAAGGCTGGTCGTCTCCCGATAGTGGAGTCCGCGAGTATTTCGCCTACAGGCACGAGCAGCAGAAGCGAGTTCTTCATGAAAAAGAAGAAGGTTTGGAGCCGCTGAGAGATTTTTCTAAGGAGTTTCCCAAAGGCGAGTACAGTTTGGGTCCCAGCATCGTCGATTGGGACGAGCAGCGAGCTGCGTGGTTTGATCAGAATCCCTCCATGAGGACTCCTCCAGACGGAAAGCCTCGAATAATGCTTGTCACAGGCTCGCAGCCTACCGCATGTGAGAATCCGGTTGGAGATCACTATCTTCTCAAGGCTGTGAAGAACAAAATTGATTACTGCCGGTTACACGGTATAAAGATCATGTACAATATGGCTCACATGGACGCAGAAATGTCTGGCTTCTGGGCGAAGCTTCCACTTCTTCGGAAGTTGATGCTGTCTCATCCGGAGGTGGAATGGCTGTGGTGGATGGACAGTGACGCAATGTTTACGGATATGCTGTTCGAGCTTCCCATCGGCAAGTACAGAGATCACAATCTTGTCCTCCACGGTTGGGATGATCTAGTGTACAAGAAAAGGAACTGGATCGGGCTCAATACCGGTAGTTTCCTTATACGCAACAATCAGTGGTCTTTGGATCTGCTGGACATGTGGGCTCCTTTCGGTCCCAGAAGCATCCGACAAGAAGCTGGGAAGGTTCTCACCGCAGCTCTCGCAGGCAGGCCGGTTTTCGAAGCTGATGACCAGTCCGCGTTAATATATTTGCTCGCCTCAAAGAAGGATGAGCTGGCTTCTAAGGTCTTTTTGGAGAACACGTACTATCTGCACGGGTACTGGGTCATTCTGGTGGACAAATACGAGCTGATGATGGAGAAGTACCACCCGGGTTTGGGAGATGATCGGTGGCCGTTTGTCACTCATTTCGTCGGGTGCAAGCCTTGTAAAGGAAACGCCGGCGAGTATTCGAACTCTAGATGTTTCAAGGAGATGGAGAGGGCGTTCAACTTTGCTGACAACCAAGTACTGGAGAGGTATGGATTGCAGCACGTGGCTCTGAGTACATCCAAGGTGACGCGCACCAGGAACGATACCGACCGACCATTGGACGTTCTCTGATCTTCCCCCCCAGCTCTTGCCTTCAACAATTGTGACATTTCACTATTTTTCACTATAGATTGACCTGAAAATTAATTTGTTGGTCGTCACATCAGCTGGCCCTTTTAAACGACCTCCTAACGCATTTTGTTAGTGTCATGCGGCCAGGCTTGTGTTCCCTACAACCAATACCGGGATTTGTTAGGCCGTAGTTTGTCAATGAGTTTTGGAGTTCTCTCAAATATTTCATTCTTGCAACGCTTGATGAAAGCTTTTGCCTCAATTTCTTTCATTCACAGCAGACGAAGGGAGACTGAGATTTCAAAGGATTGGAAGTACGTAGTTTTCACATTTCAGCAGCCGTTTGAGCTTGATCACAAACTTCACACTAAACAAGCCTCTGCTTGTTCTATCCTTCAGTGAGCTAGATGTACGGTTTTTCTTTGGACCGTGTTGTACCAACCTAAGCAATGTGGTGGAAGGATTTGCGGGTGTTTGTATATATTTCTAATATATGTTTCCATCTGCTTCCCTACTTCTGTCCTCTGTTTTAAACTGAAATACCAAAAATTGAGGTCGCGATGATTCAAGTCTGCGGTGCTAACCACACTTCTATTATAAATGTCTGTCTGTGTACTGAGATGGTTTTTGATTGTGGATGAGCACGAATCTGATGCGGCATGGTTCTTGTGTGTGCAATATTCTCACAGCTGCACATTGAAATAGAGTGCGAGGAGCTTGTACGTCGTTGGAATGTCAATGCTGGCTGAGTCACGAATTTTTTTGTTAAGAACCTGAAGCGTTGTCTGGCAGGGAGTTTTGATTATGTTGAGGAATCTTCCTTCTTCAATTTTATTCCCGCGGCGTGCTAATGGATTGAGTTATGTTGAGGTGTACGTAATTTGCAAAAGAATTTGACGATTTGCCAGACAGCATGAGGAGGAGAGGATGTATACAAGTTTCTAGCCTATCGCTCATTACTCGGAACTGTACTACGCCACATACTTATAAATTCCGGTTGTGTCCATTTCTTAACAAACGGCCAGTCTTCGTCTAGGCTACGATTTGCCGGGATTGACTCTGTTTATTAAAATCAGAATGTTAAACTTGTATTCGGAAGGTCTCATTAACTGCAGGCCATGGTGTTCCTGCCACTTAATTCTCGCTTTTATGGTTTGCATTTGGAGATTGTTGACTGTGTAGAATTCAGACTTCTGAACACATCTGAACGGAGCTGGGAAACGTTGGCCGACATTGTCTTGTTGACAGTAACCCGTTGAATTTTCTTCTGTTCATATGAATTGACGTGTGGATAGGATAGAACAAATGGTTGTCTCACCTCCGGCCGTCTCTTCGTCCTGTGGAGTTCAATTTTTATCCTTCTATCCTTTTCTTCTTCAGAACTTCTGCGAATGACTTGATCCCTTGCGCCTTTGAATTAGGCGTGGGTCCTGTCGCCTTAGTTCTTAATCTTACGTGCGTTATCCAAATTTTTCCAGATGTGGCAGTAATACCTTTGTAGCCTTCTCTATCAAGCTAGAAAATACATTATTGTGGCTCTTAGTCCTGCACGAGGGTTTTTGTGTTTGTAGAGCTTTATTCGAGCTCAAAGTGATTAGATGCGGGAGTCGCCTCTTGACGACCTTGAGCTGTTGATGCATTCATTGTCCGTTCAAACGATGGCTTAGTAAAGGCAATGTTGGCAACCAGTGGCAATTGAAAGTTATAGCCGATGAATTATGAATACTGCAGAAGAGATACTATTGAACCCTTATCAGTAGGACTGTTATGATGTAGCCTGTAGCGGTACGAGAGAGTATGTGGAGAACTGATTCTAGTCGAGAGTTGCAATTTCCTATCGATTGTATTGGATTAGTAGTAATCGCATTCAGTGCTTAGATTTTCCCTCCGTCTTAGGAGTTTCTTGACTGGCTCTAACTGCCCCTCAACGAGGAATGTATGCATTTTGTACAGCTAATGTACGTATAAGTTGAGGTATGCGGCATACTTCAATCAGGCATACCGTATGCCTGATGTGCAGTATACTGCATACTGCAATGAGCGTGAGGTGTCTGGCACTGGCAATCACGAATGACTTGCATGATGAGGTGTATGTCCACAATATGCTGTCATCTACTTACCTCTCCACGAAGTGCTCTTGTGCTAAATCGCCACGTAAGAGGAGGGAGGACTAGCAGGAGATTAGTTTTACAAATCTACGTGACAATCAACATATTGTAAATGGAGTGAATGTGTTTCTGCAGAATGTGCTTGTCGTTGTAACGCTTTTAACCCATGCACACTCGGTGTTTTACTTTGAAATAAATTTACAACATTGCTAACGCGGAACAGCAAAATGAACAAGAGATGTAAACCACCACCTCAGAGGCCATCCATTACCCGGAATTGTTTGCCAAACACCAAATCACGGTTTTGCCACGAAGCTTTTTCTCCTTGTCTGCAGCAAATTTCTGGAGGGTAATCATGAGTCTCACCTTCTCTGAAATACCAGTTTATTGGGGTTATCAATTTCATAATGATGGATACACTGCACACTAGAACAGAGTGCGCCACAGCAAGCGTCACATTCATCCTTTTCATAATACTACGTGCGGGTCAAAATCTGACAGAGGAAAGTATACAGGAGGACCTGAGCGAATGTCCAAATCGCTCGCGCTTCCACCTACATGTGGTGGGTTGCAGGTAGGAATGAAGGACGCACTCCTAATAGAAATCAGCTTGCGAGCTGAATGGCGCAACGCCGGGGAAAGAGAATTCGCAGCCGCCCTGGTATAGTACAATTTCATTACCTTGTGTACTGCGAGACAAATAACTGAGATTTGGTCTCTGTAGATCGTAATATAAATGAATATCCACGCTTGTCACGAAGGTGTCGAAAGCACTGATGTCACTCTGCTTATCGATGCGTCGCCGGACTACGACCTAGTTTACTTAACTGCGTGTTCGAGATCCTAGCAGGGACGCGGCCAACACCCGACGGAGCTACATCTCTGTTTTTCGCTGACCAATGACGTCGGAGAGTTCATTTGGTTGCCATTTCCCTGAACGCTATTTGTCCACCTAATCCGTCGTAGCCGTTCAGCTCAGGGTTTAGCATCGGGTTCGTATGTGGTTCTCGTCGGTATAATTAAGCAGTTTCGACAGGTGGAATTGGCCAGGCTTCAGCAGCCCGGCCGCTTCCATCCACCTCACTTCTGCGCAGTTTCCAGCCAACTACTTCTGCATGCGCACCAACACTTCAATCTGAAAGCACAGGCGTTTCGATCCTCTGAAATCCATTGCTTCCCCACGCAACTTGGAGATGTATTTTGTTTCTTGTCGATCACTGCTCCACATAAATTGAAGGTCATAAGTCATAAGAAAGAGTGAGAGTGTAATGTGAGAGTGTTTTTTCATCCAAATATCTACATACTCGAATTTATATTTGTCAATACTGTCTAGATTGTTCATCTCAATGGTAATCCTTTCTCCACCTCAACGGTGATGGGTCTACTAAGCCCTAAAGCACTTACAAGAGCTTTTAACGCTAGTTCATTCTTGGAACTCTATCATGACGGTTACTCATCATTCTAAGTTTACAAGTCACTAGTCTTAATACCCCACTGCGGGTGCTTATTCAAGTCTTATTTTACCCGAATCAGATTCAACAAACCCGAGCTTTGCCCAACCCTTTTTCTCTCACCAAATACATACTTCTACTTGTGAGATATGATATCGAATTCTTTCATATCAAATATAGCATCTGTTGGGAATCATATGTTGGTATCATATTTAAAAAGACAATTTAAAAAAAAATAATGTGTTCGATTAAGTCAATTTAATAAAAAGCTTGAATTTCAAAAGCCGAACATATTGCATAATATTTGCGTGGCAAGTGCAAAAGCTTTGTACTTTTTACAGTTTCTGCGATGATCACATGCATATTTAATTTCTACCTTCCAGTTTTTTCTTTCCAATAAACTTTCTTTGTAGTCAATGATTGTATTTTACAATCGAGACTAAGTTTGAAACAATTGTTGTAATAGAATGCTTGAATAAACTCGATTCGCATAATTCTAATGTTCATACAATCAAATGTACAGTGTTTCAGTCTCAAATATTTTCCGATTTGGGGAACATTTCATCTTCACTATCGTTAAAGTTAATATGGCTTTTTACAATCCGATACTAGATCCGTTTTATAAACAAAACACTTTGGTATATAAAACCATTTACCATTTATATAAACAGTGTGCAAGGATAAATACATATGTGTCTAATATGTATGAAGTATAAACGAATGCCTCCTTTCTCTCTTTCATTCTTTTTGAATCATTTACCGCGTGATAGAGATGCAAATAACTCAACGTCCATCCATTACTACGGGTATTGACAACGTCCACACAACATCTATTTATGGTACTATCATTGAAAGAAGAGTGGAGTACAGTACTACTAATCATGCATATCGCAGACAATCAGTTGAAGAAAAACCGGGGGACACAAAGTGTTGATATAATTAGAGTAGTGGCAAAACGTATTTAGGGTGTTGACAGTGGGATTCGAACCCACGCCCTTTCGGACCAGAACCTTAATCTGGCGCCTTAGACCAACTCGGCCATATCAACTAGATGCTAGCACCTCGATACCATTGCTATACAAATAGTTAAATTCAAAAGGCATGATAGTCAGGAGACGGGTGTTCCCAAAGCATTGGTCAAAGAATGAAGGGTCACTTTACTCCCATTTGTCTCTGCGGTTGCATAAGCATCTAAACTTGCTGCCTAGGTCGTAATCAAGTTCCGATCCCATAAAAGATCCAAATTTCCGCGGTAATTTCGCGTACTGCTTTGATCCAAGTCAAAGGTTTGACTACTTCTGTATGTACACATGTTCTTGACTACAATGTATCGATACTACTCCATTCGGTGACCATGGAGGCTCCACCATAGCCCACGCTAATGTTCAGTTTGCCGAGATCCCCATATGTAGATCCTTCCATTCCGCTATAATCAACTATTTTGCCCCGGCACGTTCATTTCGTGTGTAATCAATGATGTACTTGGGACTTCATCTTATATCTGATTATTAATTAACTAAAATCACGGCTCGCTCTCCTTCATATCCTTAAAGAAAAGATGTGAGGAGCCAGATGTTGTAATTTGAGCCAATGATTAATCCTCATGTGGTTTGCTCTCTTTCGAGTCCCATATAATCTCAATCTAGTTTCTAATGGCGGTATGCATGGCTGATTGCTTGACATTTTGATGCTTTTCAAGCTTTGTTGTTTTTTTACATAACGTCGTTTGTGTACATCCAGTTGTTATTCTCTTTCTCTTCAACCTTAGACTACGTTAAGATTAGCCGTTGCTAACTGATTCTTTCTTCTGCTCGTACTTTTATTACTTTGGCTAATATTAATCGTCTTGTTTACACAAATAATCCCTCAAACAATAGACAGATGAAACTAATAGTAAGTTGATATCTCCGTTCTATTAAGTATATGAATCAATACCATATTTGACCTAAGATCATATCATGTACGACAGTGACTCACTTACATACTAATAAAGTATTCAAA